GATAGAGACAGTGTCTGAGACAGGCCTAACTATATAACTGCCTAAGGTGTTCTCGAAGGAACCCAAAACAAATTGCCTGAACCCTGGCGCCTTCCCCGTGCTCAAGTCATAGACGCCGCCCTGGATCTCCAGCTGACCACTGCGCACCTTCTCGCGGATGGCATCGCAGTGCTTCAGCATGAAATTCATGGTGTGGAAGACGTTCAGCTTCACTGCCTGCACCGATTCACCAGATTTTTTGGGAAGAGGAAAACAGGCACACCCCGAAAACGGCTGGAAAACGCGCTTAACAAGTATCAACAAGTAATCCGACAAAAAACAAAAAAAAATCGAGATATTTCAACCGGTTGGGCTCCTCGCTTTCCAACTGCTGAGCCCCACAACCCCCACGGCCTTGCTGGCGATCTCATCTGCGGTGGCATTCCTGCCGCACTGACTTTTGGCCTCAGACACCACGGAGCCCAGCTCGTTCAGCAAGACGTCCAGGGCGTGGTTGGCTCGCTTCTCTTGCGAAAGATAGGCCGCAGTGGCTCCCTTGAGAGCTCCGCAGTTGGTGTGGCCCAACACAAAGATCAGCCGAGTGTTCAGAGCCCCGGTGCAGAATTCCAAGCTCCCCAGAGTCGAGCCTTCAGCATGAGTGCCTCGTTTTCGTCGCTCATTGTTGGTCAGAATCTTAAACGTCTTAACCCATAAAAACACATGAAAACAGAATATCAAGGCAAGCCGCGGCAAGCCAAACTCAGGGGAAGTAGAAACAGAAAAATCAAACAAACTCACCTGAAAACTGCCGAGCCCAGACACAAGTGTTGCCGGCATTCCTCAGCACAAAGAGATCACCGGGCAAGGCATCGAAAACCGTTTCCAGTGGCACACGCGAATCGGCACAGCCCACCACGGCAGTATGGGGCGCCTGGCCCTTCAGAGCCAAGGCTTCGCGCATGTGACGGTCCACCTTTCCAAGCACCGGAGCACCGGTGACGAAACGATGGTTGCCGTCCTTCAACATCTTCAAGGCCACCTGGGGATGAAACCTTCACTCCTAATTCAATTCAAGAAAATGCAAACCAGCAAGGGCATGAAACCATCAAGGAACCATCGCAAACACGATTAACGAAACCACGGTGGCCACCTCACCCGACCCTCATTAAAACGGAAGCAAAAACTATGAAACCATTGGAATATATTCAAAATATGATTTCAAGGCTGTCGGACGTCGCTGACTTTGGAATGATTTTCAATGATTTTGGTGTCTCCACGCCTTGGGTTCCAAGGTTCCATCCTCCGAGGTGCGGACCATGCCCATGGCCATGGAGGGTGGAAGGGAAAGCTTGGAGGACAACAGCTCGTCTTGTCGGGGAGAACGACCCAAGAATTCCACTCGACCGGTCTCCAGGTGGTAGATGCCACCCTGGATGTCCAGCTCACCCTTGCGCACCAAGTCACGAATGGGTTCGCTAAACTGCAACAGGAAATTCATGCTGTTGAAGACGTTCACCTTCACAGCATGGCTCACCAGCTTCTCTTGGGACACTCCTGGGCCCAAGTCATCACTCGCTTCCTTGGCCACACTGGCCAGGCCCTGTAGCAGGCCTTCCAGGGCGCAGCCCGGGGCTTTCACCTCGCCACCTGCTTGGTGGGTCGCAGTGGCGCCAGCAATGGCACCACACTGCGTGTGTCCCAGGACCATGATCAGGCGGCTCCCCAGCTTGCCGGTGCAGAACTCGAGCGAACCCACCATGCTCCCCTCCGCGTGGGTACCTCTGTCGTCACGTTTTGTGAAAAACAAGGATCCACAGTTTTTATTCTTTTCTGTAGGCCACTGAGTCAGTCACTGCAATTCATCAGAACTCGGGGTAGGAGATCTTTGGAAAGGACGCAAAAGTGTCAAAACATGTCCAAACATGTCCAAACATGTCCAAACATCACCTTCTGTTTAGACATTCATTTGCTCAAGCAAGGCTATTAAGGCTATGTTTGCCCAGCTACAAGTGTTGCCCGCGTTCCTCAGCACAAACAGCTCTCCGGGCGTGGCATCAAAGATGGTGTCCACCGGAACACGTGAATCGGCGCATCCGATGATGGCACTGTGAGGCGCTTGGTTGTACTTCACCAGGGCCTTCCTCATCTCGCCGGAGGTCGTGCCGGCGGTCACCGCGCCAGTGGCGAAACGCTCGTTGCCGGCCTCTTGCCCCAAGTCAGCCCAAGTCAGCCCAAGTCAGCCCGAGTCAGCCCGAGTCAACAAGGGAAGATCACAAATGAATTTTGATGCATCGGCGTATATCTTGATCACTTGTCAACAACTAACACTTGAAGAAATTCTTCAATAGTCTTTTCTCTAGATTCTAGATGCAACCTGAAAGCTACCGGTTTGTTGACAAGACTGACGACACCTCACAGCTTGCACGGATACGTTGTGCTAGATTACGTACAATAGAATGTTCGGCGACCATGTCTGGGGGTGTTTACGTGTCAACTACAACTACACCACTCCAAACATTCCCAAATACCCTCGGAATTTGGGAATCCTTCAGCATCTTCAAAGCCGCATCCGATGGAACGCGCTCGTCTGCCGCTGTGCGCACACCATGGAGGCCGCGACTTTCTCTCTCAACCATGGAAGTCATGGAAGGAGGGATGGAGGCAGTGCTGCTCAGCAGCTCACTTTGGACCGGAGACTTTCCAAGGAATTCAACCTTTCCCGTCTCCAGATGGTAGATCCCACCCTGGAGCTGCACCTGTCCAGACTTGACAGCCTCTCGGATACTGTCACTAAACTTCAACAAGAAATTCATGCTGTGGAAGACGTTCACCTTCACGGCATGTGCTGCCACTTCATCTGAGCTGGCACCAGGTCCCAGTTCGTCTGCTGCTTCTTGGGCCACGGAGCCAAGGTCTTTCAGCAGACCCTCCAAGGCAGAGCCGGCCTTTTTCGGCTCCTGCGGCTGCGCCTGGGCATCCAAAAAGGTCTTAGTGGCGCCGTAGATGGCTCCGCATTTGGTATGGCCCAGCACCAAAATCAGGCGGCTCCCCAGCTTGCCGGTGCAGAACTCGAGCGAACCCACCATGCTGCCCTCAGCGTGAGTACCTGGTTGGTGCCGGATTTTGATCCGATGTTTGATGATGTTTGATATCAATACATGCAATGCATACACATGTACAAACACACATTTGTACATTCAGTGCATGCCAATGCAATGCATCTTATCTGGGGAAATCGACAGAAACATGCAGTGTCAAAGTCATCAATGTCACTCACAAATAATAATGAAATTAATTGAAAATGCTTATAAAACTTAACCAAGCCCAGGTACAAGTGTTGCCAGCATTGCGCAGCACAAAGATGTCACCGGGCATGGCATCAAAAATTGCTTCCAACGGAGCACGCGAATCGGCGCAGCCGATGATGGCGGTGTGGGGTGCCTGACCTTCATCCACCAACTGGTGCCGTTGGACGTTCTGAGTCTTGGAACCCAAGGGTTGTCCATCCACAAATCGACGATTGCCCTCCTTCAACAGCTCAAGGGCATCCTCAGGTGCCATCGATGGGTCTGCCGTGGTGCGAACCTTTCGCACCTCTTCATTGACGGAGCACGTGGATGTTGCAGATGTCAGGGCATCGGCGATCTGAGTGAAGAAGCTCATGGTGGATGCGAAATGCAACAAGTATCAACTGGTCGTGGCGAGGGTTGGTTTGAACAAAAATGTGCTGAGAAGCTCTGCAATTGTTTAATGATTGTGAAAATAAATCGTCGCAACCATCATATGTTCCAAGTAAACCAAGCAAAAAAAACAACTTGCAGTGAGTCTGCAGCATTCGAACTTCATGTCCCTTCTCACTATCGCAGCTTGTTTATAGATTGTAGCCGCATCCAACGCAGCAATATTTTGGTTTCCTCTTAGTTCTCGAACAGTTTGGTCAGCTTCTCCGTAGATGTGCGCGCCACTGGCATCAGCTCTTCCAAGAAGCGGTTGGCATCGGCACCACCACCCTGCGGGCCCCAAGTCTCAAAAAGTCCCCAGGATTGTGGCAATCTGTGAAAATGGAAATGCCAAATCATGAAAACCCAGAAAACAATGTCTTGACGTCAAAGAAATGATCAGCAATGCTGATCAGCTATTAGATGAAAAAAAAAAAGCAGGATGGACTTGGATGGACTGATCATTGACGCTGTGATCAAATCAGTGGCTCCGCGGCTCGTCCCACAATTGCGCCTGATGGAAGACCAGCCAGCGTCCCTCCAAGAAGCAAAGAGACACAGAAGCGCCCAAGGATTCCTCAACAGCGCAAGGATCCAGCACCCACTGGCCACCTGGAAGGCTCCAACTCACAGATCTCAGGACATGTGTCACATGTGTCTTGTCATGTCTTGACCATCAAGTTTCGGGTACCCAATTCTTTTGACCCAAACGTCTCGGTTCTGCAGCAAAACTTGCACCTGGCATCCGAGCAAAGGTCACTGGCAGAGGTCTTGCCAGAAGCACCAGCCTTCGCGCCTGGGCCAAAAACGGAATCGGAGTGCTCAACAAGATTCTTTCCCTGTGCCAGGGTCCAGGACCATGCACCATATACCACCAACCGATGGGAAAAGGACATCTGCAGCAAGAAAAAACAGTGAGGTTTTTGGCGGTGGCAAGGGCGTCCTAAAGATGAACCTGGAACAAAAGAAGCAAATCACCGCAGATTCTTGCACGCTACCATGATTTCGTCTGGATGCATCTACTCCAAATGCAAACGAATCCACAAAAGAAAAATTGTTTTGTGGTAACGGTTCTCCCAAATCTCAATCAGGCGCGTAAGATCTGTCTGCGCTGACAGTATGATATAATTCTGAATCTGTGTAAAGGCACTGCTTGACAGACAGAAAATCCACCTGCCTCCGACACAACGTCCTCAGCGTTCGCAGGTGCAATGGCAAGACGTTCTCCCGCCTTGCTGACAGTTGATGCAAAGCTGGCACAAAGTCACTTTGCTATGGTTCAGAAATAAGGCAGCAGCGAACCCACAGTAGTTGTCAACTGCCGAAGCATCTAATTTAGAGAACCAATAGCTTGGAACCATAGCCAGTTGTAAATGGTGCCTAGAAATCCATGGTACCCCATATCAATTGGTTGAAAACATGACTTTCCCTACTCTTTAATGGTCATCAATTGTGGTCCGTTCCCCCATTTCCACAACATGATGGAGTGGTTTCCCTATGTGTATAGTAACAAGAATTTATGCCCACAACATTTCTTGAATTATATTCATGCAATGCCTCCTGCTCATGCAGCAAACTGCAGACCTCCCACCAAAGCAAAAAGGGAAGCAGCAAGGAAGCAAAGAAGCAAACACCAAAGTCGAGAATCTGATCTGACAAAGAAGCCATAAATGTATGTTTGCAAGTTTTTCAATGGAACACAATGAGAAATATCACCAAAGCTGATCCAAGACGCAGGTGACTTGGATGAATAGTGAAAACAGCCGCATGAGTTGAGGCCTCCCCCTAGCAGTAGGAAATGTGCAATATCAATATAATTCACGATCACTTGAAAAGAACATAGCTTGCTTTTATATGTAACTAAGAGGTTTGGGCACTGACTTTGGGACCAATTCTGAAACCATTTTCATCAAAGGCAGAATCGTTTCTATATAAGATGTCCATAAGTATATGTTTAAAATTGTCTCGAACCACTCAACAAATCCGGCTTCTTTGGTCGCTGAAATACCTCCCTTCTTTGTTTTGTTCAATTTCAGTTGTGCAGATGAGCACTCGGAGGAAAACTTTCCTACTTCATCTTGATTCCAATCTGTTCCTTTCTGTTTTGTCTGTGTTTTTGTCGAGCTTCTCGATGTGTTTTGGATGTTTGTTTCATCTGATTAAATTCTTGCCCTTAGCTTGGCCTTTTTGCCAACGCTTCATTTTCACTGAAGATCGGCCATGTGCGTTGAAACTATTTTCTCGGCACAACAAAATCCTGGCCACAACAAATTTCTCAGCGCATTTTCTTCAACTTGAACACATATTTTCGTTCGTATCTATGCCCATGTGCACTGGTGCATCGGGGCCGCTTCAGGGGAGTATCTGCGGTCCCAATTCATCTCGCCGTGTTTGCCATCCTGCCATCCCCATGAATCCATTTTTCTGGATCCAATTTATTTTTTGGTGGTTTCCAAATCCATATAAATCCAGAATATTGGATCCATATAAATTCATATCCCATATCCAGTTCCAATTTTATCCAATTTTCGTTTCCAAATCCCGCCACTTGGTTTCCATTCGGACCGCCTCTGGCCCCAAAGTTCCTTTCACCAGCGCTGGAAGCTCGGCATCCTCTGCGGTGTTTGTCAAGCCGATGACGCAACCGCCCGCAAGGGCAACATAAAGCCAGTAACGTTGGTAAACAAATGGTGAAGCGAAATGATTCACATCTGGCTCAGTCTGGTTGATTGTGGTTATATTTTGTTTGACTACGGATACCAAATTAAACGCATATATGGTCAATATTGGCTATGGTGATCAAGAGGTTTGATTGGTTGGTTGTAAACTGCCTAAATGGGATCAAGGTCAATATGGGATCAGCGTCCCTGTCACCAACTCCTCCAATGGCCGCTCCTCCAATGCAGCAATGGCCGCTAAGAGGCAAAGGTCAAAGGCATTGCCGTCGTAGTTCAGACAAACGATGTGGACATGGAGCACCCATGAAACGTCTCCTGGAGAATGCCACTGGGCTTTGAAAAATGTGACCCACCTGGGAAGTGAACTTTTGCTCCTCATCTTCTCACCAAAATCTGCCAAAAAGCAGCTGGTGACCAATGAAGCCGTGGCTTGTCGGTTCCCATATCCCACCAGTCACGGGCACCATTATTGTGTAGAGGTTAAAATCCATCTCAAAAATTTTCACCAGTTGGGATTATCATACTAAAGTTGAAAATAAAAACATGAAACCACCAGCCATTTGGTTTATCCACTCCCAGTGGTCAACTCTCCAACCAAACCCAACCGCAGTCTCCATGGCATAGCAGCTGCTTGGGGTCGAAGACGGAGGGCAAGTTAAGTACCTCTGTCAGAGTCTTGGAGAGGAAGGACATCTGTCCCAACCTCGGCAGGAGCAAAATTTCAATGGATGAATGGATTGATTTCAAGAAATCTCTACGGCTTTCTATGGGTTTTGTTTAACCCCCTATACAGTATGGATGGATGCAATTTACCGTGACGGAAATTGGTGCAAAATCAGGGTTTAGCCATCTGCTTTTTCCGATCCAATCGATGGATCCCCATTGTTATCCCCTTATGGGATCCACTTTATGTGAACATACGTAGCGTATAAAGGCTAAGGTTCACCTGTAAAAAAACGTGGTTGTTGCTAGATAACAAACCCTTAATAAACCCAAACGTTGTTGACGCGGTCACCTCTGGGAAGAGGTTGTCCCCTTATATTCCATTGTAGCTCCATGAAATCGTTGGCTTTTATAAATGATACCACCAGTCTTGCTGCTTAAATAATCACTTGTAATATATAGCAACCCACCAAAAAAAAAAGAGAGCTGGCCGCTGTGGGAGTGCACTTTTTTCCATGCAGTGATTACACTAATCATTATATTAGTCATTATATTAGTCATTAAATAAGTCATTAAATAAATCATTATTTTTATCATTATATGAATCATTATATGAATCATTCTATGAATCATTATATTAATCATCAAATGAATCATAAAATGAATCATCATTATATCAGTCATTAAATAATTCATTATTTTAATCATTTTATTAATCATTATATTAGTCATTATATATATATATATATCATTATATTAATCATTATATTAGTCAATAAATTAACAAGTATATCAGCCATTACAAAAATCATTATATTAATCATTATCTTAGTCATTATAAAAGTCATTAAATAAATCATGAAATGAATCACTATATTTATCATTATATGAATCATTATATTAATCATTATATTAACTATATTAGTCATTGCATTAGGCATTATATGAACCATTACATTAATCATCATATGAATCATGATAATAATCATGATATTAATCATTAAACTCTTCAGTTTAATAATCATTAAATTAATCATTTTATTAATCATTATAATAATCATGATGTTGATCATTTTATTAATCATTATATTGATCATTATATTAGTCATTATATGAATTATTATTTTAATCATTATATTAATCAGTAGTTTAATCATTATATCAATCATTATACTAATCATTTTAACATTCATTATATTAGCCATTGTATTTATCATTATATTAGTCATTAAATTAATCATTATATTAATCATTATATTAATCATTTTATTAATCATTACATTACTCATTATATATAAACTCATTAAATTAGTCAGTATTTTACTCATGATATTATAATCATTGTATTCATCATAATAGTAATCATTTTATTAATCATTCTTAAAATATAATCATCATACTAGTCATTTTAAAAGTCATTAAATGAATCATGAAAAGAATAATTATATTTATCATTAAATGAATCATTATATTAATCATTTTATTAATCATTATATGAATTATATTAGTCATTGCATTAGGCATTATATGAACCATTACATTAATCATTATATGAATCATGATAATAATCATGATATTAATCATTAAATTCTTCATTTTAATAATCATTAAATTAATCATTATATAAATCATTATATTCATCATGATATTGATCATTTTATTTATCATTTTATTAATCATTATATTAATCATTATATTAATCATTATATTAGTCATTATATTCTTGAAAAAATGAGTCATTACATTAATCATTATATTAATCATTATATTAGTCATTATATAAGTCATTAATGAATTTTGGTTTTTCCATTGTTTTTTTTGCAGTTTGGCCTGGGGGGCGCAGGTGTGCAAATTGTAGAGACGCGCATTAATTTGAGCGGTACTGTGATGAAAGCATCTTCACATGAAAAACATTCAAAACAACAATGGAAAAAAAAAGTTCAGACCCATGGGCAAGGTCTGGGAGAGGCCTGGCAGGGGACATGGGTCTGAACTTTTTGGTTTTTTTTGTTTTTCCATGGTTTTTTGCAGTTTGGCCAAAAACCTCGAGAACACAAAAAAAAAAGTTCAGACCCATGGGCAAGGTCTGGGCTATCCACACACAAACCAAAAAACCAAAAAAACAAAAAACCAAGAAACCAAAAAAACAAAAAACCAAAAAAAACAAAAAAAACAAGATTGCACACCCCAAGGGGAGGGGGTCAGATGCAGAGTGTTGGGTCTTGTCTTTTTGGTTTTTTTGTTTTTTTTGTTTTTTTGGTTTTTTGGTTTTTTGGTTTTTTGGTTTTTTGGTTTCTTGGTTTTTTGGTTTTTTGGTTAAGGTCTGGGAGAGGCCTGGCAGGGGACATGGGTCTGAACTTTTTGTTTTTTTTGGTGTTTCCATGGTTTTTTGCAGTTTGGCCAAAAACCTCGAGAACACAAAAAAAAAAGTTCAGACCCATGGGCAAGGTCTGGGCTATCCACACACAAACCAAAAAACCAAAAAAACAAAAAACCAAAAAACCAAGAAACCAAAAAACCAAAAAACCAAAAAACCAAAAAAAACAAAAAAAACAAGATTGCACACCCCAAGGGGAGGGGGTCAGATGCAGAGTGTTGGGTCTTGTCTTTTTGGTTTTTTTGGTTTTTTGGTTTTTTGGTTTTTTGGTTTTTTGGTTTTTTGGTTTGTGTGTGGATAGCCATTGCAGATGTGCCAAGCAGAGATTGCCAGGCACTGTCAGTGGTTGCACTAGAAGCAAGGTCGATACACTACAGTACAGCAATGTTTGCTATGACATAGTGCATTCAGCCAATGAACAGCAGAGAGGAATGGAATTCAATTTTGTCCGGTTGCGCCATATGCTGTTGGATCTTTGCACAGGAAATGCTGCAATTTGCGCACTCCCACAGTGGCCTGTTCTGAAAAAAAGAATAGAAACATATTTCCAGGATGTAATAGATGGTATCTCCTTCATATTTCCAGGTTTACAACTTTTCTATCTCAGGGTCACTACTTGGAGTAATTGGTTAATAAGTCTGGTTAGTGGTTTATCCCATATATATATATGGATTAAAACTATATATTTATTGTAGCTATAGTCACTAAATGTTACTAAGCAGTTACGACCAGTGGTATTATCTCTATGATCTAGTTATGACCAGTGGGCCAGCCGCCTGAGTTACTAACGGGCATAGTCTACCCTCTGGTAAACTAACATAGCTATTGACAATGACCATTTTTTTATAAAAAAAAAATGTGATTTACCTATTACAAAATGCTGATTATCCATATGTCAAATTACCAGAGGTTAAGAATTCCCATGATATCCCCATCAACTCCCCATTTGTTGATGGTTAAACCATGTTAAACTCATATACCTCTGGTAAATGCACAGTTACCCATTCTAAATCACCAACATGGCAGTGTGTCAAAACCTTGTACCCCTTCTGTTCACATCAAAATGGCTGGTACATAAATGGATGTTCATCCCCCTAAAAATGGTATTTTTATAGGTATTGATCCATAGCCATCTGGTTATGACTAACATAGTCATGGAAAATCACCATTTTTAATAGGTAAACCATCTATTTCTATGGGTAAACCAACATTTTTTTCAACTCATCTTCCACCAGCCTCGCACTGCCGTGCCTTTTTAAAGGGTGCCATGGGCCGTGCCCTGGATCGCCACGCCACGCCCGGTGCTTCTCCCGGAAGAGCGCGGAGCAGAGCGGTGGCAGCTCCACGGAGACTTCGATGCGACCCAGTTCTTCCTGGACAGGAAAACCATCCGAAAACCATCGGAAAATCGTTATTTAACCAACAAACATGGCGGTTTTTCATTCAAAAAATGGGGATTGACTACGGCGACTACGGGATTTCACTTCAACATGAAATCTGAGTTTCTGAGTTCACTATGAAAAAATGCTGGTTTTTGCTATCAACATGTGGATTTCACCATGCAAAATGGTGATTTGGGCATCTGGGAGTTGACCGTAGGTGAAACCATAAAGACAGGGACAAAACTGATGAACAGCCAGTGGATTTCACCACCTAAGATGTGGATTCTAAGCAAACTGCACAACCAACCAACTGAGCAAACCTCACAAGCAGGTAAACAGCCACCAAAATTGCCAAGGTGCCCTACCTCAAAATAACTATAAGAGTGGAAAAACAGGAACATCATCTCTTCTCTTCAACTTCTTTGGTTTTTTCGATTAGGATATGCCAGCATCCTGACAAACATCGAAATCTAGCGCCATGAGAAACTGGGCTGTGACTCCCTAAGCCACAAAGAGACACCAAGAAAAGGTCCAACACTCAGCCAGGAATTGTCATCAAATTCCACAAGAGGAAAACATGCCGCTCAATTTTTGCTATTTTTGCCGTCAATTGTTTTCACTGGGGGTTCAGATTTCACAGCTACATGTGCACCCTTAAACTGTCAGACTTCAAAACATGATTATGCACCAACCCAAAACAGTCCAAAACCTTGGTCCATGAAGTGAGATGTTTCTGCTGTTTTTGACCCATGAAACTCATTATCTTGCTTCCCTTACCCTTCCCTGATCCGGACTCATAATGTGGAGTGTTTTTTCGAGCATGGAAATGGTGTCCTTCGACACGCCATCAATTTCCCATCTGAACATTCTCTGTTAAAACAAATCCCACAGGTCATGGGTGAAATCACCATGAATATTTGGAGCTTTCCCAGTCGGGGTGTTTCACCCCCAACATCCCGTCGTCATCCAGTCGTCATGGACCATGACAGCCAGGCCACCAACTCCCCACGCACGCCACACAGCACACTGGAGCGACCCAGGCGTAGGGACGCCGAGCCCAGGGCCGATCCTTGGAGGCAAAGAATGGCATGAAAACCACCCCAAATCCAGCAGTTTATGCAACATGAACCGTTATGAACCAACGAAATTTGTGGATTTATGGTGATTTCTGGTCATTTAACCAACCAAAATTGATTTTAGAAAATGGGATGTCAATGTTGAGCAAAATGTCGGATCAAACCAACCAAAACTATGAGTTTTTTACTTATAAA